GGCACTAATAAAAGTGACAGAACGCATCCAATGACATGGGCATGAGAGAATGAAAGAACTCAATTACTATCTCAGCATCTGTAGCACCAATTTACTCTAATTCGCCCGTAATGTCTAAGAAATCCCTTAAAAAACTTTACTTTGCTAATGGGTACTAAGCTTCAGAAGCAGTAAACTGCATTCCAATGTAATTACAGCACCACAACTTCAACCACATTTTTGCCCTATACTAATTGCTGGAGCGAGCGAAAGACTGGCAACTTTTTATTCCATATTCGCTGATTACGAAAGAAACATCCCATAATATCGTGCTTTTTTTTTCATAATCGGTTACTAATTCTAATAAACAAAGAAGCTGGTGGGAACTATGTGGGGATCGTTGGGGGGAAGAAACTAACATATTACTTTTCTTCACTCCAATTCGAGAGAACGTGAGGCAGAGGAACAACAGCCCATGCATTTCACGCCCTGTCTTTAAATAGTACTTCATAATAAGTGAACTTCGAAAAGTGCTCTAATCATAAATGATAAGTGGCTAATTTACGAATTGCAGATGACAGAGTTCCCACCACTAGCAGGGATTATGGGAGAAGTATTGCAAAGATTTAACGCAAGAAAATGGGCATAAAAATTAAGGCAACGAAAATGAAGGTGATGCAAAGTGCTTATATGCTCGCAACTAGACTGCAGACTAACTTAGACAAAGTTAGCAGTTATGTCTATCATGACCAGAAAGTATATGCCGAAATCACTAGCCAGAAAGAGCATGCAAAACGGCTGCTGGATGACATGCATTTCGTAGCATCGTCGACATTCTCCCTCAAAGTGCCGTACCGGAAGGAACGTGCCACGTCTAGATTTCTGCGCGCTGAAGGCGATGATGTACGAATGCGAAACGTTTTCATTTATAAAAGTCGGAGGGCAAGCGCTGTCTGTTACACAAAGCGATGAAGCAAAGAATACATGACGTTTTTCTTCACGGCCACATAAACAATCAGACCTCAGAACAACTCGCAGGACATGATGGTGATCACGCGAGAAAGTAAAATCCGATGGGCGTGATGTGTTGCTTGTTTTGGGCGCCGTGCATCAATGAGTGGTAGCAACAAGTAAACAACCAATCCGGTGGTCCCGAAGAAGTGACAAACATATTTCGAATAGGCAGCATTTACTAACAAAGCTGAGAGGCCTAACACAGCTGCATCAGGTATGTCACAGTAACACTAATAACAACGTCTCCCACATCGACTGTCCGGACGGTCTTGGTATGTTTGGTACGCGTTTCATTTGGCATTTCAGCCACTACGGCGCGCTGGACAAATGGTGTGAGATAAGACCCAAAAGAGAATAGAGGTATTTAAGGATTAACCATTATAGGTCTGGCTGTTAATGACAGGCTACGCTAGGTCGTACCTCTACTGAAAATTAATGACGTGATTTCTTACAAGAAATGCAAATCGGGAATGAAGAGTGCACAGATGAAGACCCGCAAAACATGACTGACCAGCCAGTGTGGCATGTTGAACAACGAAAAAGATAAAGCAAAAATGCGCGAAGTACTGATGGCAACTGATAGGATTCAGTTCGTATGGAAATCCGTTTCGGCGGATTTTTGAAAGAGGAGCAGCTTTGCAAGTTTATGATCTTCCTGACTCCAGAGAAATAAGATGAACCATACGTTGTTAAATCGAACATTAGCATTTTCGTCCCTATTTTTCTGCCGCTGCAACTCTCGTAGTTCCTGTGATTCTTGCTCACTGAGCATCACGTAGTCACCGAACTGGCTGTTCAATGTTACAATGAGAGTTGGATGCTCCAGAATGTAACGGTTACGAGTATTATCCAAAATTGTTTTTGATGGATCGATCACATAAAAACTGCAAAACTGAATTTGTCACTTTTGAAATGCATCGGAAAATCGCGTTTTGCCCGCGTGAAAAATTCGAAACCGCTTATAAATGAAACAAAACCAAAACGGTTTAATAAATCATTCATTTGTAATTCTGCATTATTCTCGAGCAG